AAGGTCACCGTGCGTAGGCAGCCTTAGTCCAGGTACAGGACCGGGTTGCCCTTTGGCATTGGTTCAGGGACTTTAAACCTCAGTGTCTCGTTGCCCCACGTGGGAGGGCAGCGTGCCGCCCACGACGACACCTGGCTTGCGGCCACCCTGCCCAGCTCGCCAGGGTCCCGTCTCCCGTCGGGCGCCCTCCTGTGCCCGCTTACGTGATCGGCGCACCCGCCGTGGGTGCCCGGTGCTGCATGGTCTCCCGCTTCCGGCCCAGAGGGAGGCTGGCCTTTGCGAGGAACGTTCTTCGAACACAGCTGAGGACGGAGGCAGGTTCGTCGCCGTAACATGCTATGATGATGTTCTGCTGAACAATAACGCAGACCCGAGTTGCAAAGCTTGGCACTCGCTCCCTCGCTTCTGAACGGGGAGAACTCTGTGTTCCCGATCAAAAGACAGGTCTTTGGGACGGTTTCCTCTCAAACCGCGGTCCCTTGAGGGTGTGAGGGTGCCGTCACGCGGTGGCGCACACATCCTTGGATCCGAGGAGTGTAATGACTCGTTCACATCCTCGCTTACGCTCCGACGGTTTGGGGGCACTTGAGCGACATTGTGAAGAAACGCCGTCTGCACCGTCCCCTGCACATTGATAATCCTACCACCCAGTATCTTTTAAATTAAAAGCTCTGACACAAGGCTTTAAATAAACACTGTTTAAAGCATTTCATTTTATTCTAGTTTTTAAGATTTTATTTATACATTTATTTGACAGAGAGAGAGATCACAGCAGGCAGAGAGACAGGCAGAGAGAGAGAGGAGGAAGCAGGCTCCCCGCTGAGCAGAGAGCCCGATGCGGGGCTCGATCCCAGGACCCTGAGATCCTGACCTGAGCCGAAGGCAGAGGCTTTAACCCACTGAGCCACCCAGGTGCCCCTGCTTAAAGCGTTATAAAGGCCATCGCCGTGTTTCTGTCTTGGGGATCAGTATTTTTTCACACCCTTTCTTCTCTGTCGTCCGCTCGCGTTAGCAGGAGTCCCCAATGGCTCCGTCCGTCTTCCGCCGGGCCTCAGCTGCCTGTCCCCGCACGCTAGGCTTTGCTTTTACGGCCCCACAGTCATTTCTTTCTCATTCGGTGCCTGGAGTTTCCTTCCTCTGTGGACCTGTCTCAAGTCCTAGAAGAGGATGTGCGAGGGAGGAAGGTAAAAAGACACAGCATCACTGCGTGTCTGTCCTTCTCTTTCCCTCTCCTCCGACCCCGTCACGGGGGCGCACCGACAAGGAGTGTTTGTCCCCGGAGCCCATAGGCCCTAGAAGGCTGGGGAAGGCCTTTCTGCTGTTGAATACAGGGACAAGCCAGCCCTCCCTCCATTGTCTGCCTTCTTCAAGAAACAGTTCGTGCAGGGGCAGCGTGCGTTCCGGAAAACCCCAGTCACTCCGGCCGCTGTCCCAGCTGCGGTGTGTTCTGCGGATGACCCCGGGAGAGTTTTCCTGAAGCCTCACCATGTTCTGTGCCAGCTAAACCAAACCAGACCCGAAGAGGCATTGCCCCGTCAGAGGTGATGTGTGAGCCGTCCCGACTGCCTGAGAGGCGGGGCGACTGAGACCTCTCTGTTCGGTGCCCCACCATGGGGCGGAGGGTCTGGGGTGGTCCAGGAGACCGAGGCCGCAGCAAGGTCCTGGCAGAACGTATTCAGGGGGGCGATGGGAGGGAGAACAGGCTCAGCCACCATGGGAAGTAGCTGTGGGGGCCGGAGGGGAGGCAGCCCACCCTGAACACTGAAAGAAGAGCGGGGTCCCATGGAGCCGCTGGTGCTGACCCCAAGAGCCCCCGGGGGAGGCGTCCAGGGTGCTTGCCGAGCCCCAGTCTGACCCGGAACAACCAGAGATCCCCTAGCAGATGCAGCGAGCCCAGGGACAGGGACGTGTGAACGGTGACATCCGTCAAGCCAGCAGCAATCACGTGGGGGAGATGCACACGGACACATCGGTGACACCGCCGCAGCCGTGGCTCACGGGGCACAGCCCCACGCCTCCTGCCATCCACGGGCCCGGGGTTGCTGCCCTGTGTGCCGCGCGGCCGCCGGACGGGGCGTCAGGGAGGAGCAGAGGTCTGCGGGCGACACGGGCCGAGCGCGGGTCACAGTGTACCGAGTTCAGGCAGTCCCACAGTGCACGCACGCCTGTGTGCACGCCCGCGCACATGAACACGTATGTGAGTGCGGGCACCTGCGCGCGGTCATGCGTGGGAATTCCTTCTTGCATTCGCACTCTGGGCCTCTCCTCTCTCCGCCTCTTCCCGACCCTCTTTACGCCCTGCGAATGTCACCGTGTTCGGTCCTTGCCGGGGGAGTATTGTAGCTCTTGGGGGTTGCCTTGCGAGCGTCACTGCTGTGAACCTTATTCCTGTACTAAATACTGGAGGACCTATCCCGGCTCACGGCGCTGGTCGTTGCTCGCGCCAGGATGAACGCCGTTGATGTGTTAAACTTGTAGGGACGTCGACGTAAACAGATGTAGATACGGTGGCGCGTCTGATGTCCCGGGCTGCGTGTGAGCCATGATACTGCCAATTACGACCGGGCGTGCCCTTCGACGCTTGTTAACCTGAAAAGGCCCCGGGATGCGCCCTGAGGTGTCTGAAGCTTTACTGTCTCGAAAGTCTCCAGCTGGGATCCAGTTCCCAGACTGGCCTTTCCTGGGAAAACGGTGCAGCCTTGTGAGATAATAGAAACCGCATGTGTTGGTCTGGGCTCCCCGTTGCTGGCACAGAGCTCCCCGAACCGTCCGAAAGTCCTAAGCGATAATAACATCACTGGGCACGTCCTTGCTGTAATGTTTGTCGTTGGACCCTGGTTCCTGAAACCGAGCTCCTGAAGCCCTCGTACAGCGTGAGCGACAGGCCCGTCTTGAGTTGTGCAGAGGCCCTCCCCGGTGGGCTCCTGCACCGGCCGAGCAAGGCGTGCTGGGAACTGTGGCGCTTCCTGTTTGTCCGCATCCTCCGGACGGGGGTGCAGGGCTGCACATGGGGTGCGTGACGCCTCGTGCCTCTGTGGCGAAGCCTTCATGAAAACCCCAAGAGTACAGGCGTCCCGAGAGCTTCCCTGCTGGCAGACATGGGTGTGCAGGGGCTGGGAGAAAGGCGCACCGGAGAGACCGCGGGACTCCGCGCCCTTCCCCGTGCCGCTTGCCCTCAGCCGTCGTCCCTGCGCACGCTCCCTGCATGGGTGCGCGTACCCTGTGTGATACACCAGGGGGCAGTGAGTCAGCGTTTCCTGACCGCTGGGAGCCACGCTAGCAAAGCCGTGGGGCCCAAGACAGGGTCCTGGGACCTCCCATCTACATCACAGGAGACATTTGGGGCTTGAAATTGGCATTGCCGGGGGCTTGGGCAGTCCTGTGGGGCTGAGTGCCAGCTGTTTCCAGTATGACCAATACACACTACCCTATTACTTTCAGGCTTATGTCGTCGTGATCGTGCATTTCTGTGCATTACAAAACGGTGCCCACGGTCAGCCCAGTCGGCCTGTGTGCCGCCCGCAGAGCTGTCACAAAGTATTGACTGTGTCCCCTGTGCTGCGTCCCCCATCCCTGTGACTTACTTTCTCTGTGCACTGTGCACCTCGAGGTCCCCTTCACCTACCCCACTCACCACCCATCCCCCACTCCCCCCTCCTCTCCGGTGCCCACCGCTGCGTTCTCCATGTTGAAGACTCTGTTTACTCTCTTGGCTCCATCCTTGAAATTTCACAAGGGGACAAAACCATACAACTCCTGTGTCTCTCTCACTTTGCAGAACACCGTGGAGGTCTGTCCATGTTGTCCAAAAGGGTAAGATTTCCTTTCTTCTAAGCAGTGCTTTCTTCTGTGCACCGTCCTTATCCATCCGTCTATCCGTGAACACGGGGGATGCTTCCATATCTTGGCTGTTGTACATAATGCTCAGTGAACATGGGGTGCACAGGCCCTTTTTTTTTTTCTAAGATTTTTATTTATTTGAGAGAGAGAGAGAGAGAGAGAGCACGAGTAGGGGGAGCAGCAGAGGGAGAGGGAGAAGCAGATTCCCCCTGACCAAGGAGCCCGATGCAGAGCTCAGTCCTGGACTCTGGGATCGCGACCTGAGCCAAAGGCAGATGCTTCACCAACTGAGCCCCCTGGGAGCCCGGTGCTATGGCACATGTGTGTTTGCATCAGCGTTGCTGTTTCCTGCAGGTAAATACCCAGAAGCAGCTGGACTGTGTTGTAGCTCTGTCCTTAACTTTCTGCTGTTGTGCAGAGCGTCTGCCCCCGTTGGCATTCCCAGCCCCAGTGCACGAGGGTTCCTTTTCCTCCACATGCTCGCTGGCGCTGGCTCTGCTCGTGTTTTCGGTAGCAGCCCCTCTGACTGGTGTGCGCTGGCATCTCGTTACGGTTTGGGGCAGCCCTTCGGCCGTGAGACCTGTGTAGGACGTGAGCTGGATCATCGGGTACCCGGCTGGTGCCCCGCACATCTTGGTGTGGGAGACCCCCCGTCCATAGTACACAGCGGGCGTGAGAAGGGCTGTGACGGAGGTTCGGGGCGAGCGCGGCAGAGCAACGCGAGCCTGGGTAGACGCACCCCGTTCTCTCGACGGAGCCTCCCGGCTCCCACAGCCTTGCCACACGCCCGCTGTGCTCACGGCCGGGGGGCAGGGAGGTGTCCTCGCCAGCGCAGGGTTGCCCGCACAACCGTTGGGTGCTGCCTGCTCGCGGCCGCTTCAGTTGTCGCCGATGGCCTCATGGGATGGCCTTCACCACGCCAGGTCCAGACACACCGAGTTTGTATCAAAGCCTATGGGCCTCCTTTCTTTCCCCGTTTTTAACCTTCCAGGTCCCACTTGCAGACACACTGAAGCCAACAGAGCGGCGACCCCGGGCCCTGTTGTCCGAACGACCCGCGCCATTGCCAGCATTTCCACAGCTCCCTGTGCTCATCGGGCCAGGGGTCCGCCTTCGCACAGCACGCACCCCTCACCATCGCCGTATCTCTCTCCCTGCAGATACCGAGCGGCTCTACTCAGTGGTGTTCCAAGAAATATGTGACCGCTACGGAAAGAAATATAGCTGGGAGGTCAAGTCCCTGGTTATGGGGAAAAAGGCGCTAGAGGCGGCCCAGATCATCATAGACGTCCTGCAGCTCCCCATGTCCAAAGAGGAGCTGGTGGAAGAAAGCCAGACGAAGCTGAAGGAAGTGTTCCCCACCGCGGGTCTGATGCCAGGTACCGTGCCCTCCCGCCGACGGGATTACACGCGGGAGCTTCCGCGGTGTCGCTCAAAATCACGGCAGAGGGCCAGCGCCCGTTAACGCGCTGGCTTTGTGTCGTCTTTTGTCTCAATCCCGTCTCAGCAAAATCTCGTCTTGTGTGAGGCTCCCAGGCACCCCAGAGACAGTCGGGCTGACCCTGTGCTGTGACTCCATCTGGGCTTTTCGAAATCATATGCATTCCTTGCACTGCGTCCCGAGATCCAAAATCATTCGAACCGTGTTTGTTCCGGTATTATCTAAACAGTGTATCCGTGGGGGGATTGCTTCAAGATCTAATAGGTGGATTTGTCTCTTCCTGTTCAGAATCAGGGACAGATTTATCTCCGCGGCTGTTGAAACTTCAGCCCATGCGTGATGACCCAGTCCCTGCGTCTCCCCGAAGAAGCTTAATTTTTTTCTTTCCTTTTTTTTTTTTTTTTTTACAGTGAGGGCACAGTTCATTTGCAACATGTCTGTAAGCCCTGCACCCCTCTCTTTCCTTGTTTTCCTTTGAAAGCAGAGATGACTTTTCATCCTTTCGTGGCGCTTGTAAACTGAAGATCGCTCAGAAGCGAATGGTCTGCTGTTTCTTGCTAGAAGTGAGGAGGTCAGGAGTGTTCTAGGTGGCAGGGCCGAAAGATACTTGAAAACGGAGTGCGGTTTTAAGAATCTTCAGGAAAACAGGTGAATTCTCCATCTTGGAATTCTTACAGCGAGGAGAGAGAGAGAGAGAGAAAAATCTGCAGGTCCGGCAGTGATTTGGGGATTTACAGTGGTGTTAAAGAGATTCCTAGTCGTTTTTGAAACGTGCGTGTTTTTAGAAATATTTATCCATCCATCCCAGAGTGCACACCGAATAAGGCTGGAAGTGGAGAATTTCCTGGAAAGGCCCCGCGAACGCCACTGCCCGCGACACACAAACCTCGTGGGCTGTGCGTGCATGACAGGCCTAGCCGAGGGTCAGTACAGGGTACAGGCTCCGAGATGCACGCCCAACGCCTCGCCTCCCGTCCTGTGCTCTTTGCACACGCAGATGGCCTGATCACCCTTCCTGATGCAAACACATCCACACAGCTCCTTTCTTAAGATTGTTTCTTAAATGTATGCACCTGAGAGAAAGACTGAGTGTGCACAGACAGGGGAAGGTCAGAGGGAGGAGGAGACGCAGACCTCCCCTTGAGCAGGGACCCCGACCTGATGCAGGGTTCCATCCCAGGACTCTGGGACCATGACCGGTACAGCTCATTTTTTTTTTTTTAAGATTTTATTTATTTATTTGACAGACAGAGATCACAAGTAGCAGAGAGAGAGGAGGAAGCCCGCTCCCCGCCGCGCAAAGAGCCCGATGTGGGGCTCGATCCCAGGACACTGGGATCATGACCTGAGCTGAAGGCAGAAGCTTTAACCCACTGAGCCACCCAGGTGCCCCCCGTACAGCTCATTTTTTAAATTACGGTTAAAAGCAGACACAGTAAAACGTACCGTCTCACGCACCTTGACGCGTCCAGTTAGCCATTGCGAGGGTGACGGTCCCCACCATCCACCTCTAAAACGTCTTCGTCTTGCAAAACAGAGAGTCTGTCCCCATCAACCACTGACTCCCCGTTTGGCCTCCCTCTGGCACCACGAGTCCACATCCTGTCCGTGTGAATTGCTCTGTCCTAGGAACCTCATATGGGGTGGGGTGGGGTCCTCCAGGATTTGTCCTTTCCTGACTGGCTTTTGGAACGTGGTGTCATATCCTCAAGGCCCTCTCACGTTGCAGCAGGAGACAGGAGGCTCTCCCTTTATTTCCCGTTGTCCTGCTAGACACACCATTTGTCCCTTCGTCTGCTGAAACTCTCTGGAGTCATTTCCTCTTCTGGGCTCCTGTGAGCGTGGGAATGCAGATACGGTTCTGAGACCACGCTTTCGGCTTCCGTGCTTCTGTGCCCCGAAGAGGGCTTCTTGCTTTACATGGTGGTTCTGTTTTCAGTCTCATGAGGAGCCAACGTAATGTTGTCCACACTGGCTGCGTCGTCTGATTTTCTTTCTCCCCATCCACAACGCTTCCAGTTTCTCTGCCTTTTCACCAACACTTAATGATTTTCTGTGGGTCTTTGGTTGTCCTTAGTACCCATTCTAAGGTGTGTGAAGCAACAACTCCTTGTCTTTTTTTTTTTTTTTTAAAGATTTTGTTAATTTGTTTGACAGAGATCACAAGTAGGCGGAGAGGCAGGCAGAGAGAGAGGAGGAAGCAGGCTCTCCGCTGAGCAGGGAGCCCGATGCAGGATTTGATCCCAGGACTCTGAGATCATGACCTGAGCCGAAGGCAGAGGCTTTAACCCACTGAGCCACCCAGGTGCCCCCTCATTGTCGTTTTGATATGCGTTTCTCGAATGATAAATGGTGTGGAGCATCAGTCCACTTGCTTTTGGCTGTTTCTGTATTTTCGTTGGAGAAATATCTTTTTAAGTCCTTTGCACATTTTTAAAAATAGGGTTAATTTTTGGTTGTTAAGTTGAAGATAGGTTGTTGTGAAGTCCTGGATAGACCCGTTATCAGACACATGGTGTGCAGATTTTTTTTTCCTTCCTATTTCATGGGTTACCTTTTCACCCTCTTGATGGTGTCCCTGGATGTGCAGAATTTTTTAGGTTGGACGCAGTCCCATGTGTCTATGTTTGCTTTCCTTGCCTGTGCTTTTGGTGTCGGATCCAACACATCATCACAAAGTCCATTTTCGTAAAGGTGTCCGCCGTTTTCTTCTAGGAATGGGATAGTTTTAGGTGTTCTGTTAACTTCAGGTTCATCTTTGTGTGTCCTAAAAGGGGTGAACGTCGTTCGTTGGCATGTGGATACCCAGCAGTCCTGCTTGGGTGGGAGTTTGTGGAAGAGGCCGTCCTTTTCCCGCTCGAGTGGTCTCAGCATCTTTGTTGAAGATCCTTCCACCGGGTCTGAGAAGGTTCACTTCTGGGCTTTCCGTTCTATTCTGTTCGTCTTCATACCAGCACCACGTTGCTTGGATTCCTGCAGCTCTGTAATGTACCTTCAAGGAGTTCAAGACGTCCTACTTCTAGTATTCCTTTCTGCTATTTTTATGGCTGTTCAGAGTCCCTTAAGGGTCTGCATACATCTTAGGGTGAATTTCTGAATTTATGCAAAAAAAAAAAACAAAAACGCCCCCGGGATTTTGGTAGGGTTGCTTTGAATCTGCATATCTATCGGTTTGGGGAGCGTGGACGTTCTAACGGTGTCAGACTTTCCAGTTCACAAACGTGGGGATGTTTTCCATTTATTTGTATCATGTTTTTAAATGAGTCTCCACAGTGATTTGTCGCTTCCGTGTACCCGGCCTTCACCGTCTTCTGGATTCATTTTTGATGCGTTATAAATGGAATTGTTTTAACTTTCTTTTCACATTGTTCCCTGTCACTATACAGAACTGCAACCGATGTTTGCGTGCTGGTTTTTGTGTCCTGAAATGTTGCTGAATTTGTTTTTCCGTTCTAACAGTCTGGGTGTGTTTGGAACCTTCAGGGTTTTTTTCGGGTAAGGTCACGGTCATCTGCGAGCAGGAATCACTTCACGTCTTCATTTACGTCTCGGATGACTCTTACTTGTCCTTCTTGTCTGACTGCTCCAGCTAGGTCTTCCAGTACGATGCGTACAACCGTTACCCTGTTCCTGATCTACGAAGAAGCACTTTCCACCTTTTCCTGTTGAGGATGGTGAGAGCTGTGGGCTTCTCACGCGCAGACTTTGTTACGTTGAGGCAGGTTTAGTCTCCCTGCCTTTCTTTTTCCCAGCTTGACTGCTACGTGTCATGAGAAGGTGTCGACTCTTGTCCGTTGCTTTTTCCATGTCAGGGGATGTCGTTTTTGTCCTTCATTTAGTTCCTGTGCGTCACGTGGGTCCTTGTGTGTCGCGAACCATCTGCGCATTCCAGGAATAACTTCCGTTTGGTGACGGTGTATAGTCCTGCTGCTGCTGAAATCGGAAGGCTAGTATTTTATCAAGTGTTTCTGCCCCAATATTCATGATCGCTCTCAGTTTCCTTGTCGTGTTTTTGTCTGCTTTTCATATGAGGGTAATGTTGGCCTCACAGAATGAGCAAACACCTTCCTCTTCAAATTTTTGGACGAGTCTGCGCAGTATGGGTGTTAATTCCTGTTTGGGTTGTGCGGTAGGCTTCATGGGTGATGGCTTTTTCTTTGTTGGGAGGTTTCTGATTGCTGAACACATGTCCTTAGTATTTCATATCCAGTCAGGCTCTCTGTTTCTTAATTCGATCTTGATACAGGGGCGTATGTTTCTAGCAGTTTATCCATTTCTTGGCATACACTTTTTTATACTATTCTCCTAAATCCTTTTTTTTTTTTTTTAATTTCTGTGGCACTGGTTTTAATGTCCCCTCTTTTTCATGTCTGATTTTAGTTATTTGAGCCTTCTCCTGTTTTTTCTTAGTTAATCTAGCTAAGGATTTGTCCAGACAGTTAACATTTGACCTGGTTTATCTTTCATTGTTTAACACCAGAGCACCCATCGTGTGTTAGCTATGCAAATGCCGTTTTGCTTTCTTACCTACCCAGGCCTCTGAAGTGCTTTTCCTTCTTGCATTCTCGTCCATATTCTAAGAAATCCTTGAGTTGAACTCCACGGCGGGACCCAGAACATGGGAGCTCAAACTTCCGCAGCTGGTGTGGCCTAGAACACTAAGACGTCTATGTCCTGACCTCTATGTGGCGAATTGAGTCGCAGTGTTCCCATTTGACTTTCACAATGACTTAGGTATCCTCTGCACTCAGAGATAATCACAGAAGATCACCAAATCCAGAAATTTCTGCCTTGAAAGTGAGGCAGGAGCTAGTCCTTGGAAGAGAGTTGAGCCCTGCAGAAGTTCCCTAGCTGACTTCTCTACCACTTGTTGCCCTCTTACCCGCTGTCGACGGTGAGGCTGGTACAATTGCAATAGGAAGCTCAAGGTACCTTATT